TTGGGGGAAATTATACAAAATGAATTTCTTTCTGTGTGTCACAATGGAAGCCAGCAGGAAAGCCACTAGTCTAAGGTTTTAGGAAGTAGAATCAAACACTTAAAAGAATTTTTAGGAGAACAAGAGTGAGTGCTCACAGCTCTGCAAGTGCTGAGCTACTGGGGTACCAGCACGGACAGGAGGAGGCGAACAAAGTCCCCAGCTGTATTCAAGGTAGGAATTTTGTCACAAAGAAACAAAAGAAGAGCCTGATTATTACAAACAGGATCTGAGGACAGAAGAGGGCCAGCTGAAATACGACACACTTGGTTACTGCCCCTATACCAAGTCAGCTATCCAGAAATGGCCCCACAGTCTTCGGTGATGGATGAAAGAGTCAGAGGCAAGCGTCCACTTGGCTTTCAGCCGAAACTGAAAAAGGAAGTCCCAGATTTTCTCCAACCTCTTCTGGTCACCTCCCAACCGCTTCTTCTACTGTTTTGCTCATGAATGTGATGCAGAGTATTAAGTACTGTAGAAATGCCACGCTGTCTACTTTTCAGAGTGCTTATATATATTTCATATATATGTGATCACATCTGAAATTGATGAATCTCTACAAGCAGAGCAAGGGATTTCAATCACGCCCCCGATGAGATGGAAACAGCGGCAGTTCTTGGCACTGGCTGTGTCAGCGCTCAGCCTGGAGGTTCCCAAGTCCTCTTCAAACAGCTGCTGTTCCAAATACAGCTAATAACCCTTTAGTGCTGCCTCACAGAGAAAACAGCATGACACAAGATGACGGCGCACACAACCCTATTCAACTGAATGTCAACTCACCAGACAAGGTCATTAAAAGAAACAAACTCTTAGTTTAAGTAGAGAAATTTGAATTCAATTAAATATCATATAGTATTTTTTGTAAAAATATTAATTACTGGCTAGACACATATCTTCTCTCTTATAAATAATATTTGAAAACCAATTAATGTAATCCATCATATCAATAGACTAAAGAAGAAAAATCATGTGACAATCTCAGTTAAGTTCATGAAAATACCAGGAAAAATTTAATATTTATCCATGATAAAAGCTTTCTCCTAAACTAGGAATAAAAGAATCTACAAATAACCTATGGTTATTACACTTAACGGTAAAAGAATGAGTGCATGCCTCCCAAGAGCAGAAAAAAGGCAAGGATCTTCATCTAACCACTCCTATGCATCATCATATTGGCAGTCTTAGCCAGTGCAAAGAGGGAAGAAAAAGAAATAAAACACATACAGCTCAGAATGGAAGATGTAAAACTGTATTCACAGATAAAATGTTTGTGTATGCAGAAAATGCCAAAGAATAAAAAAAAAAGCTACTAGAATCAACATATTATTTTGTCAAGCTTGTAGGATGTAAGGTCAATATACAAAATTAATTTTGTTCTCATACACTAAAAATTAACATTTAGAAGGTGAAAGTAAAAATACCATTCACAATAGCACCCAAATCACGCAAAATTTGGAGACAAATCCAATGAAATATGTCCAAGACCTGTTCTCCAGCAACTACAAAACACCACTAAGAGTAACTGAAGAAAAACTAAATAAATGGAAAAATATACTATGTTTTTAGATCAAAATGTTTAATATTGTTAACGTACCTATTCTCTCTAAACCTATATATTCAATTCAATCTAATAAAAATCTCAGCATGTATTTCCATAAATATTGTCAAGCTGATTCTAAAATTTAAACAGAAATGCAAAGGACTCAGAATGGCCAAATCAATTTTCAAAAAGAACAAAGTCGGAGGGGGTCACACGACCTGATTTTAATACTTACCATAAAGCTACAATAATCAAGAAAGTTTGATAGTGGTATAAGTATAGACATAGAGAACACTCGAACAGAATAAAGAGCCCAGAAATATACCCACATACATATGGTCACTTTATTTTCAATCAAAGTACCAAAGGAATTGAAAGGATAGATTTTTCAACAAATGATGCTGGAACAACTTCATATCCACATGTGAAAAACAAAACTCTACCTTAACCTCACATAATAGCAAAAATTAAGTTTAAAGTGAACATAGATCTAAATGTAAAGACTAAAATGTTAAAAATTTCTGGAAGAAAACAGAAAAGAAAATATTTATGACGTTTGAATAAAGACTTCTGTTAGGACATGAAACATGTGAACCATAATAATAATTTTAAAAAGACAAAATAGACTTCATCCCATTGTAATCTTCTACTCTGCAAAAGAAACCTTCAAGAAAACACAATGGCATTCCACAGAACAGGAGAAAATGGTCCTAATACACATATCTGATAAGGACTTGCATTCAGAATATATAGAGAATTCAAATTCAATCATAAGAAGATAACCCAATTTTTTTAAATGTGCAAAAAGATTTGACACTTTTATAAAGGAAGATACACAAACATCCATTGTGCACATGAAAAATAATGAACATCATCAGTTATCAGGGAAACGCAAATTAAAATACAATTAAATACTATTACACAATCACTTAAAATGATAAAGACTGATTACACCAAGTGTTGGCAAAAACATGGACCAAGTGAAACTGTCATACATTTCTGTTGGGGATGTAAAATGGTACAAGCAGTTTGAAAACTACTTGGGACATTATTATTTATAAAACAAACATATACTTATCACATGATCCTGCAATTTCACTCTTAGGTATTTTCTCAAGAGAAAGGAAAACATATGTACAAAGACTTGTACAAGAACATTCATAGCAGCCTTGTTAATAGCATCCCCCAAATGGAAACAACTTGAATACTCATGTGTGGGTGAATGGGTTAAAAATATCCATACAGTGTATATCCACACAATGGGATATTACTCAGAGGTAAAAAAGGAACAAGCTACTGATAAACTCAACAACATGAATAAATCACAAAAACATGCTGAGTGAAAGAAGCCAAGTGCAAAATAATTTGTTCCAGAAAACTCTTTGTATGTGAAACTCTAGGAAAAATAAATCAAATCTACAGTGATAGAAAACACATCAGTTGTCTAGCCCTGATAAAAGTGAACACTGACTGAGAACATTCTGAGGTAATGGGAATGTGGTAGTGGTTACATGGGTATATGCATGTGTCAAAACTTATCGAACTCTACACTTAAAATGTGTGCAATTCAGTATATCTAAATTACACCCCAACAAAATTGATTTTTAAAAAAGAAATACTGGTACTTGACTGGACTTGAGGGCAGAACACAGACTTCTCGGTAGTGAGAGTGTATAGTTGGGCTGGGAAGGACTTACATTCTGGCTGCAATAAGCACCTTTAATTTGCCCAACTGCATATGAACCATTTTGTCCTCCAAGACCTTTTGTTGCAGTCAAAGTACTGTCTTGTACCCCTACTCACTTGCAGAATGTGGTCTTGTGAATAATTCATTACTGAGAAAACATCAGAAGCCACTGCCACAGACTAATGTGGAAACTTCTCTCTCCCTCCTTAATCTTTTGGCTCTTGGTCATGGGTAAGACCAGCATCGAATATAGAGAGCCTTCACTTTAGGGTATCTCTGGTCCACAGATAACCAGGGCAGAAAACGCAAGGAAAGAAAAGTGTCCAGAATAGATGTTAGATCACTACCAAACCAAGGAATCTACAGAATCTGAAACAGAGAGACTAAGTGCGGTCTAAAAACCAAGACTGCAAGTAGCTCTGGGGGATGAAATATGCCAAGTATGACTTCTGAGATTGCAACATGCAGGATAACGCCTTAGAACAGTGTTTCCCAAAGAGTGAGACATACCAGTTGTGGTATATGAAATGATTTTAAGTGTTCTTGAGATAAATTGGAGTGGTAAACAAACATGATATTAACATTAAATCACATGATGATTTTTTTCTTTAGTTCTCTTAGTTTTTCTGATTATGTGTCAAAAAGCCTCATTTCATGCTCGAATATCTTAACACCTCTTTCTTCTCTCTTTTAAACAAAAGTAAAATACAAAATACCCAACTGGAATGCAGTAGGTACGTTTGTTTATTTGCGTATTTATCTTCTATCTATGGCAAGTAAAGTGGTTTTTCATTTGGGGTAGTGATGCCAAGTTTTAGCATAAAATAAATGTTCTTCAATAAAAAGGGTTGGAGTGGCTAATTTATAAAAAAATATTAGATTAAAAATACTATACTAAAAATACTATAGTGGATATTGATATGGTGATATACGAACATCTGAGATTGGATAACAGTACCTTAAAATGTTCATTTGTAAGGAAAAGTCAGTATCTGGGTAGAGATATTAACATATGAATAAGCACTGAATCATCACTTTATTAATAAATATTGAAGAAGATCCACCAACAGGACATTTTCATGTCATAAGTTAGTTTTTAATTTGAATTATTTGCCCTTTAATATCCCCCAAAGTTTCAGATTCCAGATTACTGATAAAAGGCAAGATTAAGATTTTCAGTGGCTTATAAATTAAAATAAAATACCATAAAATTGGCGAAAGGCAGGAATATATCTGAACAACAATGAAGGGTCAAATCCCATTCTACCTCTATCTTTCTGCTAATGAGTGCTCTCATTGGAGTGTGAGCTGATGAAGAAGATAAACAGAAGATCTCCATGAAAAAAAGCTTCTGTCTTCATAAAAGTTGGCAATCTACTACTTTTAGTTTCGCTCTTTTTCTTACTTGGTGCACATTTCAATTTCTTTCCTTTACAAGAATCCATAAAAATTTACATTTTACTTTAGGTCCATTAATCACTTCAAAAAATGCAATTCATGTGGACAAATTTCTCCAAAACTGTTATGCTCTTGTCAATGCTTTGACAGTCTTGTGCAACTGAAAAAAAAGTCAACCTCAGCTAGGCTTTAGCGAATTTTACCAGTCAAAAAAGAAAGAGAACTGTAAAACAGATTTTCTTATTTAAAGAAACAAAAAACAGTTTGATTTCTACCACGCTTATAATTTCCCAAGAGTAAAATTAAATTTGGAATGAACAAAGATAAACCCCTTACCTGTTGGAAGGTGCAGAGTTATGTTGTTGCAAAAATCTGTGAAGCAGCATTCGGTTTTGGTAACATTGTTGGAACTATGACAGAAGACTTGAGCATTTAATTCCGGGAGAGAGACACAGGACTTGATCACCTGTTCCTTTCCATTGGTTAGCATAACTGAAGCCCAACATGCTCCTTCTGTTTGGCAGGTAAAGTTTGAAGAGTCACACAAAAGACACACACACTTCAATCCTGGAAGGTGTAAGGCAACAAGCTTTAAGATACAAAAGACATCATGCAAATTTATTTCATAAAATACTTGAGTATCAAAATTCAATCTTAATGAAAATTGAGAGAGGGGTAAACACAAGGTAATCCTGTCACTCCCTCTCAGCCATGTGTTTTATTTAACAGGTTGCCTAATCATTAGTTACCATTCTTTGTATTTTTGTGAATTTGTTCAGTTGCTACTATATTTAAAACAATTCTCTCATCCGTGGTCTACTTCCTCCTTCTTAAACTCAATCAACTCATTCCTAAGTCAATAGCCCCTCTAAAATGCTAGGATATAGTAACACAGCAACCAAGGGGTGCTGTCCAGCATCACCGTAGAACATAAAGTGTGATCCCAGCAGCTGTGTAACCAAACGATCCAGTATATCCTGTTCATTTACCCTTTCCCCTTTACACTTCTGAGCGAATACGCTAAATAGAAACCTAACCATAGATATTGACAGCTCTAAAAAAAAAAAGTGTGATTCTTTACATTTATACTCTGTGGTATTTGAACATTATTATTGTCCTAGTACCTTCAAGGCACTGATGAGCCATTATACCTCCCCCTCTTCACTAAAGAATGCATCTTAAAATGTGAGTCATTTGAAAATAGACCATGACCTTCAAACAATTTTCTTTAATGAACACATCTATTCCATAAAGAAAAACACATCAATCACAGAATTTAATATATCTGCATCAACAAAACTTTCAAAAATTAGACTTCGATAAATTAATCTGTTCACCTTATAAGTTTCCTCCACACTCCCCACTTACTACACACACACACACACACACACCCTGCACATTAACTCACGTGTTCAAAGTGATGCAGCACTTCTGTTCTAATGTAAAATATCTGTCACCATAGAGTCCAGTGGCTGTGAGCAACTGATTCGAATTTTATTTAATCATATTGTTTTTAAATAATACAATACTGAATAAGCTTTTCGTATTACTTTAATAAAATTTTTGTTAAGTCAAAAGTGCCCCCCACAATTATCTAAAAGTCCTAAGTTTTACTATACAATCGTTTTTACTCAAACTAAAGTCTTTAAATCACTAATTACTCAAATTGGAGCTGATTTTATACCTGTAAAACATTTGATCCATAACTGGCAAGTTTCACACTCACCTTCAAATACCAATATATGGATAATGTTTCTATATAACTCAGTGTATAAGAAAAAATTACATATTGCCAATAGAAATTCTCTCTTCTTTTGATCATTTTTCCTGACTGGTAAAATACCATCCCTATAAACACTTTTATTATTATGTGCTAAGGATAATACAACCATAAAATAAAATACTATTTTGTTATCAACACTGGACCAAGCATAATAGCTCACTCTTTTATGTATTTCAGTGGTGATCAACATAAACAAACATATTCTTTTGCTGATATTGACACACTTTGGTGGGACTTTATAATCTAGATTTACTTGGATTCAGTAGAGCTAGATATATAAAATCTAGGTGATTTGAAAAATGTTTCCAGTCACTTTCCTTGCATAAAAGAGAGCTCATAGAATGAGGATCCATCCACCCATGTCTTCTGACAGTAGAATCTGCTACTCCAGCATCTTCCAATTCCAATTTGACAAACGCCTTCAAATCCTGATTATATTAGCTTTGCAACCTTGGGCTTTACTTGGCCCCTTGTGCCTCCATTTCCTTATATGAAGGATAAGAAGAAGAATATACCTCCTCATAGTGCTGTTGTGGAAAATAAATTAGTTAATCCCTTAGAATTAGTTAAAGCCCTTAAAACAATACCTGGTACATAGGAAATACTATGTAAATATTAGTGACTGTGTCTTCTCCTAGTGGAGGAGGTACAGCTCATCCTATGTAAACAATCGGAATACATTTGTAATCCATGAAGGAATGGCTGAATGAACTAGGGTGTACAGACCATTTAAAAGGCATAACAAAGAAATGCAACTCTTTCTGCTCTGCCTCGTGAGTCGAATATTCTCATTCTTTTAATGGTCCAGACTAGATCCCAGACAGTCACACAGCAGGGTGGTGTCTGGCAACGTTCCAGATAAAGAATTCAGGAAAAGACGAAGGTCCCAGTCCTAGCTCTGTCACCACCTTGCGGATTGACTTTGGAGAAGATACTGAACCTTACAGGGCTTCACTGCCTTCCTCTGAAAATGGGAAAAAAATTGGGGTAGGGGCAGTGGGTCCAGAAATCTTGAAGCCTCATATAGTGCCAACATTTTATGACTCCATGAATTTACAATTTATGGAAATTTACAATTATAAAATAGGGAAAACTCTTTGACAGTTAAGAAACTTACTCCACTATGGTTATTCTTCAATCTCTTATTTTAAGGGGCTAAAGTTGGGAAGAGTAACTCTCCTGACACACAATCTCAAACCATTTGTTACTAGATTCCTTACCAGAATCTCCTTGAATTTTCTATTTCCAAGAGAAGCCTAGCCTGGAAATCAAGGAAACTAACTAATAACATGGATCCACTGGGCGAAGACAACCATAAAGTACTCAAACAGCTAAACATATGTTAGTTTCATGTGCGTTTATGTTGCGTATAATACTCAGTGCAACTGTGGGAGTTAGTTGTCATGATCTCCATTTTATAGATAGTGAAATGAGGCTCAAAAAGATCCAGTGACTAAACTGATGCGGCAGTCATTAGACTACCCAAGCAATGTTGTTTCTATCCTACCAAAGCTGATATTTAAAAAAAAAAAGGCGGGTACAGAAACCATTCTCCCACATCATCAGTTCCTAGCAATTGTGAATAAAATACAATTCTAAGACAGCAGAAAGAAATTAATAATTAACAACTAACATTTGAGATTTTGATCTATATAGTCCTAATTACCTTTTAAAAACACAGATTTTTTTTAAACAAATTCTACCTACCTTTTTCTGACGAGACAGGTGGTCAAATGAAAGTCAATATCATGTGCCTTGCATCTAGCATAAATCACCTTACCTTTCGGGTAGTTTGAGTTTTGTACTAAGTCTAAGCCTCTAAGTACCTAACATGATACTTTTTCTTCCAAGCACTATGAGCTCCTTACAAAAATGGTTACATGATAGTTCTCATCAAGGAATAACGTGGATACTCACTGAACATTTAACAAGCTATACAAATTTTCTTCAGTTTAAAGTAAAAGGTACCAATAAGAAAAATAACATAGACCTAGCTGATATAGTTTCAACATAGTATACGACACCTTACTTTAAATATTGCACGATGGAAAACACTGAAAAACTGAGAATTTGTTGATGATAATGGCTTCAAACATCTGCTAAATGTTCTCATTTATTCCAGGTCAACTAGCAATATTATAGCACTGACAGAGAGCAAACAGCAACCTAACAGATATATATCTAAAATACAACACAATCAATCTTGCATTTTTTCATTTCCCACCAATCCACTATACGGTCACATTTGGTATATAATTAAATTATATTTATGTCAACCATCCTCAACACAGAACCCTTGTGCTGCCAGTTAAAACATGTTGCCATTGATGATTAGGCTTCTGCTTTCAGATTTTGTTTTTTAAAAAACTAACGTTAAGTCAATTATTCTAGAATATTCCCTGACAGGATAAATCTGGTTGTTAGCAGACAGTAGTCCAGCCTTATGTTTCTTTATTTTATACTTTCCCATTATAATATACTTAAGTTACATGGAAAGAGATAGTAAATGACCTTGAAGAAGGAGGTAATTACCCATAATAAGGAGGTCCATTAGATTTTTTTCCCCACAAAGATTGCACTTTCCTTGTGCCTCCTCCCACCCCTTTAATTAGCCCCTCTTTCCCCCTTTCTGCCAATTAGTCTGTAAAAGCCAAGACATCTGTTACCGACATGAAACCAAAGGATGTGCACATTCCTAGTCAACCAGAAAATAAACTTTCATCCATATTTACATGAGATGGCAAGCGCACCCTGGTGTCCAGAAATGTAAAAACCATCAGACTACAAAAAAAGAACCAAATTTACCTATTTGCATTTTTGTGCTATCCTTATTAAAAAGTCAAATATTTGCTTAGGAAATACTAGCTGTTTTGAATTAGATACGGTTTTCAGTAAGTTGGTTTCATATTTCCTAGGTTTCCTACATTTTGGATCTACATGCTAAAATATCTATTGACCAGTGCCTTATGTAAATTTCTGACACATACTCTTTCCTCTTCTCTAGACATTACTTGATTTGACTTCCCTAATTTTAGAGCAGGCTATTAAACACAAAATATTTTTTAAATTCAGAAAACTGTCCCAAATTTGACCTGCTGCATATGTAATCTTTTCATCATTTGCAGGCTCCTGAGTTAACAAAAGGAACAATTCAAGCTGATGAGTGTGCTGAATGTGAAAAGTACAACAACAGGAAAAAAGCCAAGACCACCAGCAGGAGGGCCGGTGAAGGAAAGCCAGAGAGGGTCAAAGGAAGCCATGCAATTTCCTTTCTACTCCTTTTCAAAATTTTATTTTCTTGTCCTGCAGTCATTTCAAAGAATTTGCGTTTCTTAGCAGAAGGAAAAGTAGAATAGAGAAAGAAAATAGCTTTAATAAAATATGGGCAATATAAATGCAAAATTTTAGTCCAAAAGTGCTTTCAATAGTTTCAGCTTTTAGAAATTCTATTTGCCAGGCTGTATCTAAGAACTTCAGAACTCCCCAAATATGGGAATATACTCAGCACAAGGGAAAAGTGTTCCTTGGTGCAAAGTGGCAATTATGTTCCCTGTTCAAGAAGGCCTCACTCTTACAGCTGAGAAGGAATGGAACCACCCTCACAGAGGGAGTCTATCCTGGAGAACGGCTTTCACGTCCAACTGCAGGGCTCAATTTACGAAGAGTCCAGCACACTTTGAATTATAGCGCTAGCCATGCTCAATGTCCTCTGTTCAAAGGCAGCGCTAAATGAAATCTGAGGTTTCAGTTTACCTCTAACATAAGCCTAAGACTTCAGACAACT